TTAGGGTTTAGGGTTTAGGGTGAAAGGTCATCTTGTTCAACATAGTTTCAGTTGCCGTTGATCGGCGGATGCGAAAGCTGGCTCCGCAGTAAAGCTGCTAGGGCTGCTTGCTCCAACTCCGGGCGAAGTGGGAAGCCTGTTGCAAAAAGGGTTTAGGGTTTCGGGAAAAACTCTAAACCATAAACAGCATAAGTATGAAACTGACTTCGCGTAGATCGGTGGTGGTGGTGAGTAGAACAGCAGTTGTAGCAGCTGCAAAAGCAGCAGCAGGAAAGCAGCCAGAAGAACTCGCGGGTTTATCGGTCGCATCCTAGAGCACGTAGCTTCCGAAGGCTTTCTAAAGACCAACGAATCTCAAACTCCAAAGTACAAGACAAGTCGCCTGTATCTCAGAGATTCCAAATATCATGTGATTAAGGAGAGTAACATTAAGTAACCTTCAGGGCCCATGTTCCTAAAGTATATACTAATCTACTTTGACAGTCCAGCACATACGTGAACTCTGCGAAGCCCTGTTATGCTGTATCACTGTAATTGCAGGAGGCCGGGATCTTCGATGACGTGCGTGCCGTGCCATTTGGCTGTGTGTTTCAGGCTTCGTGGGAAGTTACATGCTCTGGCCTAAACTGGCTTAAACCTCAAACCGGACACCCTAAACCCTAAACTTGCCCTAAACCCTAAACCCCAAGCCCCTAAACCCTAAACGAGAACCGTGAATCTTTCCCAGCCACCCTGAAGCTCCAAGGCCTGAAGCAGGTCTGCAGTTTGGGGTCGCGCTTTGTTTTTTTGTTGAAGGGGGGAGGTTTAGGTTTTAGGGTTTAGGTTTTAGCTTGAAGATTCGTAGGGGGTTGTGGGCTTGAGGTTTAGGTGTTTTAGGCCTTGACAACCTGTCACAAGCTGCATGAAGTCCTAACGTGTGGAAGAAGGCTGTCGAACACCGGCTGCGGCCAAATCCCAAAGCCAAAAACACAAACCCTCACACCGCCCCAAACACCGAAACCCCAGGACCACAAAGCCTCAAATCCTGTGGGTGTTGCCGAGAGGGTTTAGCCAGGATTACATCTCTTACAGTCCCACGGCCCCCTGCAACCCCGAAACCCTAACCTTCGAGTGTGAGTGCCGAAACTGTAAGACCTAAACCCGGAACCCCGAAACCCTAAACCCTAAACCCTAAACCCCTAAACCCCAAACCCCTAAACCCCTAAACCCGGAACCCCGAAACCCCCAGATCCCGGCCCTGCGCAACTGAGGAACATTGCCTTGGCAGCGCTGGCGGCCGGGGGCCGTGGGCTCCTAGCGTCGACGTTGTGCCTGGGCCTGTGGAGCGTGGTCAGGTAGGGTTTAGGGTTTAGGGTTGAGTGGTCGTCTGTGGCAGGTTTGATATTGCGTAAGGCTTTGACAGGGCTTGTACGAAGATTCTTACGGTGGCTTGATCTTGTTGGAGACAAGGGTGCTGTGAATTTCTAAGTGGAGTTGCTGTTTTTAAGCTTTTTGTCAAGGTTTCGGAACTCAGGGTTCACGGTGTCGATCGGCTTGGGGTTCCGGGTTTAGGGGTTGGTTTGGGGTTTTGTCGGGTTTAGGGGTTGGTTTGGGGTTTTGTTTTTTAAATTCATTTTTTGGTAGAGTATTGCGCCGGTATGCGCCTATCGTCGCATCCTGGTGTTGATCATGGGGCTCGGGGCCGCAATTGAGAGCCAAAAAGAAGACCAAGGTATGGGGTTCCTTACCAGAAGCTGCAAGTTATTAGAGCGACGTCTTGGTTTTGGCGGATCCGAGAAGGGGCCTTTTACTAAGGAAGCTACTTGTACTTCAACGCATGGTGAGGATCCTCCAAAATCATAGTTGTACTACTAATCTAAATCAGTAACCTCCCTATAGGGGTGTTTCGGAACCCCCCCCCCACCCCCAATTTTTACAGAGCCTTTGACTGAAACGAGGTTTCGGCAGGCGCAGCGCAAAGGAGCGGAGTTGGACGTCTTCACGGGGGCTACGCTAACAAAGGCATGGGACAGAAGCCGCCAGGACAGAAAATTTTCTGCGGCAGCTTAGGTTTTTTTGGTTTAGGGTTTGAGGTTTAGGGTTCAGGGTTTAGGGTACTGCTACTTTGACGCTGAGCCTGTCGGAATGCCGTTATGTCGGAGTTTCCGCTGCGGGCCTTGCATACGGGTGCTTGCTTTTGGTGGACGTGGCCGGTGTGGCTTTCTGCAGGGCACAGAATCACTTGGGTCTGCGAGGCTTGGCTTGTGGAGGTCCACTACCGGGACCCTTTTTTGAAGGTGCGGTTTTCTGGGATAGTTTTGCAAAAGCAACAGACAACAAGCACAACGATGCTTAAGCTTCTCAAGAAGAACCCCAATACCAAACGCCTTTAACTCCATGTTCTCAAACCCTTACCCCTGAACTAGACATCTAGCAGTGCACCGAAGCCCTGAACCTGAAACCCTAAACCATGTTTACCTTGTGCAAGCGTGGGAGTCGAAACCGTAATCGCTAATCTCCGCTATCCCCTACTACCCTACCCCTCATGGATAGGTCACTGAACCCGTGAGTAGAGAAACCCTACCCTACACCCCGAACTCCGAACCCTAAACCCCAAGCCCTGAAACCAAAACCTCCAAACCCTAAATCCTGAACCCCACCCCTAAACCCCCAACCCTGAACCCCAAACCCCAAATCCTAGACCCCAGACCAAACCCTAGACCCGAAGCCCTAAACCCTAAACCCTAAACCCTAAACCCTAAACCCTGAAAGCGTAAGGCAGCCAGTGGGATCACGCCTTGGCGCAGCTCATGGCTCTGGACCAGGATGGCTCCTCGGGCTCCGGTCCGTAGTACAATCTAATGTGGGAGTTTCCGAAAATAAGGGTACCTTCTTTTGGGGTTTAGGGTTTAGGGTTTAGGGTTTAGGGTTTAGAGTACCTTCTTTTGGGGTCCTTATAATAAGGATCCTACTATTTAGAGTACCAAATTAGGGTCCCTATTTTCGGAAACCCCCATATGATTACTACCACCATTGCTGAAGTATAGTAGTAATAAATTAAGAAGGTTAAGTATACTTATAAACTCAGAACCACGATTATAACAATATTCGTAGGCAAAGATACTGGGCCCGCGGCGGCCTCGTTGGGGGAGGGGGAGGGTGGGCGGCAAGGTATGCCTAAAACACCAGATTTGTTGCGACCCCCCCAAACATCTTTACCCTAAGCCCCTAAGCCCTAACCCCCTAAGCCTTAAATCCCCAGGCTCAAAAGCCTAACCCCTAAAGCCCCCTAAAAGCTCAGGCTTTGACATGAATAAGCAATAGACTGAGAGCAATAAGATTAATAGTAATACTGAGAAAATGAGAATAACAATATATTATCATTACCAATCTCGTTGTTGTTTGTCTGCTTTCCTATTCTTCTTATTATTGTTATTATCGTAATAATATATCATGATATTGATCTGGACCATGATGACGATGATAATGGTTGTGGTGATGATGCTGATAATGATAGTCATGCATGATAGTGACGGTCACAATGGTAGTGATGATAATGACTCTAATGTTTGTCATCTTCCTAAACCCCTAGACCCTTAACCCCAACCCCTAAACCCTAAACAAAAAACCCTAAAGCCTAAACCCTAAACCCTATTTCTGCATTCCACAACTCTCAACTGGTCACACCGACTGCGCACATATGGATCCTCGCCTGGCTTGTCCGAGTTGTGAGAGTGTAAACCCTATTCCTGAGCAGCCCAGGCTTCGATCGAAGTCCCGTGGCCTTTAGCAGCGGCGCGAGCTCCTGCCGTCGAGCCGTCGTCTGGGATCGGTCGATCGTCCTCCTGCAGGTGGGGGTGTTAGGGTTAAGGGTTTAGGGTTTAGAGTTTAGGGTTTAGGATTTAGGGGTTAGGGATTAGGGTTTAGGGTTTAGGGTTTAGGGGTTAGGGTGGGCAGTTTAGGGGCTTGGAGCTTGAGGTTTTGGGGCTGTGGGGTTTTGGGACTCAGGGTCTTTTGGTTGGGGTCTTGGTGGCTTTGAGGGCCAGGTGTATGATTGAGGGCTTTGGGTGTAGGGCTCAGAGCTTAGATTTTGAGGTTAATGTGCGGCTCTAACGTTTGAGAGTTTAGGGTTTAGGGCTTGGGGCCTTGCGTTTAACAAAGTTTCAGGCGCAGTTGACGTAGTTGAATGCAAGCCCGCTGCACTAGTGGGCTGGCTTGGGGTTTGTGGCTTGGCTTCATTCAAGCAGTCAGTCTCTTGAAGCCTTGCTAGATAGCAGTACAGTACTGCTTGCTGGGAGTCTCTAATTCTAATGATATGGGGATTTCCGAAAATAGGGGACCCTAATATAGTACCCTAAATGGTAGGATCCTTATTACAAGGACCCCAAAATACGGTACCCCTTATTTTCGGAAACTCCCATATGTCACTCAAATGCCATTCCTGAGGTGCTGATCTGACGATGCATTTTCCTGTAGGGGGTTGGAGCTTTTCGCTACAATACATGCACCTTGAAAGCCTTCAGCCCCAAACTCCAAGCTAGGGCCGTTAATCCCAACATGAAGTGCTCGTGAATATCCGGATCAAAGGGCCGGGGTAGATCGAAAGACTTGCTGATACTATCCCTCAGGGTTCCCAGGTATGCTATAGCACAAGCCGCCCCAAATCCAAATTCTTACTGGTAGTGCCTGTTGATAAACGCAGATAAGAACCATTCAGAAGCCTGTAGCAGCCCTATAAAACCGCATGCAAACCATGCAAAAAATCGTTCAGGCCCCTGCCCGTAGCTTGTTTCCTGCAGTGCAATGCAGTCAGCTAGGTGGGTGGGGAAGAAACCTTAAGCCCTAAACCCGAAACTCTACCCAAACCTTAAACCCTACATGGGTAGTTCTCTGAATTAGGGTCCCTTTTCATTTTGGTGCCACAAGTAGTACGGCGCCCTTATACAAAGGACCCCAACAGAATCTAGAGAACTGCCCATCTAAAGCCCTCATACTGCCCTGATAGAACCCCTATAGAAGCTCTTATAGATCCGTTTAAGGAACCCACACGAGGACCACTCCACCTACGCCCTTGAGCCTCACATCTCTACACACTGCGTCTCGATCCTGGCCGCCGGCCGTGGACGGGCGCCTTTGGTTCGTTTAACAACCCTAAACCCTAAACCCTAAACTTCTAACCCCTAAACCTCTAACCCCTAAACCCTAAACCCCTAAACCTTAAGCCCTAAACCGTACTTAAGGCTTCCCGTAAGGGCCTCTGTTGCATCCCCCTACGGGCGGCCTTAAGGGCTCCTTTTCCAGGGTCCCGCTAGAGGGTTCGCATGGGATTCTAGAAGGGTTTTGGGCGTGTCTAGAAGGGCTTTGGGTTGAGGGGTTTGGGATTTGGGTTCTAGGGCTTGGCGATTGAGGATCGGGGGGAGAAGGAGGGGCTTTCGGGTTAAGGGTTTAGGTTCCAGCGTTTTAGGGTTCGGGGTTTAGACGGTTTGGGGTTATATCAGGCATCTAGACCCAGTTGCCACACCACAGTGCTAGCACCCCGCAGTGTTTATGTTAAGTGTACGCTTCAAATCTAGCCTCTAGCTTCCTAGATTGCGCTATTTCGAGCCTTGCTGAGGGTTTCGCCGGGTGATGAGGTGTCACAAGCCAACTCACTGACCGTCCGCGGTTGAACATTTAGAGTCTTATGTTTTGAAGTTTGGTTGAAGCTTGAGGATTCCGAACCCTAAACCCTAAACCCTAATCCCTAAACCTTAAACCCTAAACCTTAAAATCGGTTTCATGTTGCTGCTTCTTCCTTCCTCGCCCTGGCAGTTGCATAGCAGGGCTTCTGCTTTCGCTTTCGGCTGCAGGGTCGAAGCTGGAGGGTTCGTTCCCTGAGCCCAAAACTAAGCCTCTAAACCCTAAACACTAAATCCTAAATCCTAAATCCTAAATCCTAAACCCTAAGCCCTAAATCCTACACGGCAAACCCGAAGATTTCAAAGCCTTTCTTTGGGGTCCGGCACGGCTCGTTTCAGAGCGGCAGGCGTGGACGAGTGCCCTGTCGCTCATCAAGGAGATGGCGGAGGTCTGCATCACATAGAAGACTGTGGGGTTTAGGGTGTAGGGTTTAGGGTTTAGGGTTTAGGGTTTAGGGTATAGGGCAGGGCTTTGGGTAGACGGGTTCCTATAAGGCCTGTAAGGTTTGCGGGTTGCCCTTTAAGGGTCACGGCAGGGGTTCACTGTAGGTTGATTTCCAAGGGAGTCTATAATGGTTACTATAAAAGTGGTAACAAGGGGTTACTGTAAGGGTTTATTATACGGACAAGAGTGAGAAGTGCAAGCCATGAGCTATAGTATGAGGGGCTCAAATGGTTATCAATTACTATTCCTTAAGGTCTTAATATACAACCCTAAACCCTACACCCTAAATCAAACATCCTATTCTGCATCACTGAGCCTTATGGGGTCCTGAAGGATTCACCACCGGTGCTTAGTTCAGATGTCCGCAGCGGCCAAACCGCCCCTAAACCCTAAACCCTAAACCCCAAACCACAAACCAAATGTGAACCCTCCACAACTTTATGTTTTCGTCGACTTGTTGTTTCCGACAGGCACGGCTGGAGCCGGATGACCTGCTGTACCAGGCTGGTTGTGGTTTGGGGTTTAGAGTGTATTCTTTTGGCAGGTAGAGTGTCAGGGTTTTTGCTTTCCGGATGTACCGAGTTGCAGTGCTACAGTATTCAAGGATGCAGGGTTTCCCGCAGTAGAAACTATTCCTAGCTTTTCTACGCATCTTCATAAACATTGTACCGTAGCATGAACTGCACATTATGCTATCCTGTAATGTCAACCTTCATCTACGCTACGTTTCGTGCTGCGTTCTACTATACAAGATTATGCCGTACCATGTTGTCTTGGCATGCCAATCTTCGGGAAAAATCCGGTCGTCCCTGAAATTCCGGCCCCGACACCGGGGCACTGCAACGCAGATGCAAGCATGACCCGAATCATCTATGAAAGCCGGCCCAGGACTCCTAAAAGACCTCGAACCCTGAGGTCCTCAAGTCGTCCGGCTGTGTCCGAGTTGCGAGAGCGTAGACCGTGAGGACCTGCCACCGATCTACTCGCCCCTCATGCCGACTCCCGGCATCGTTTCGGGACCCTTGGCCCTCGCGCGGTCAGGGAAAAGCGGGGCATTGGGCATTTCTGAACTTTCTGAACGAAAGACTCCAAACCCTAAACCCTAAACCCTAAACCCTAAACCCTAAACCCTAAAGGCTTTTATGTGAGAGTAGCCCGGAAGGCGCATGGACACAGAGACCTCGTTTGACGGAGTCCGAGTTGCGAGAGCGTAAAGGCTAAAGCCGAAACCCGAGTGTCCAGTTTAGCGCTTTGAGGGTTCTTTAGGCCATGTTCCCGATATTGCCCAGCTCCCACAGTTCCAAGCCGCCCGAAGGGATTCGATAGGACGATACTGGTACAAATTTACATTCGTAATTTGAACATATCCTCTTGACAATGCTACTAGGATACACCAGGGTTTAGGGTTTAGGGCTACTATGATACACCCCAACGCTGTCTCCGTTCCAAGGGCTTGCAGAAGGCTCTTCAACATGGTTTGCTTTCAGGGGCTTCTTTGCCAGCAAGGCTTGTCGCCCTAAGCCCTAAACCCTAAACCCTAAACCCTAAACCCTAAACGTGGATTCAGGGTTTCGTCGTAGGCTTTCCTCCTGAAGTTGCTGCGGAAAAAAATGGCTTAACTCAGTAGCCAGAAGCCCATGGACCCTTCACAGTCATTTTCAATCTTCTGGGGCCATGAGCCCTAAACCCTAACCCCTAGACCCAAAACCCTTAAATCCTAAACCCTTGAACCCCAAACCCTGAACCCTACATGCTTAAACCCTAAACCCTGGTGAAACCCAGAGACCGCAAGAAATCCAGACCCTCGAGCCCCACTAAACCCAGGAACCCCGGGGAGCCCTTGACCCTAAAAACCCTCCCGAGGCCCTAGGGTTTCCGGGGTTTAGGGTTTAGGGTTCAGGGTTTAGGGTTCAAGGGTTTAGGGCTTAAGGGTTTAGGATGTAAAGGTTGAGATCTGACAAGGCCGTTGCAAAACAGGGTTGAAGCTTCAAGGGTTTCGGGTTTAAGGGTTTAGGGGTGAGGGCTGCGTAGGCGCTGGCCGGCACCTCAGTCCGTGCTGAAAAGGGTTTAGGGGTTTGATCGGTCCCAGAGGGGTTTGCTCTTCAGGGCGTAGGGTTCTATGTGACACCAGCCGCAGCTGCAAGCTTCGACTTTGGCCAGAACCGGGCCAATACCTTCATTAATGGGGCATAAACTATTACAAATATTTTTTTGGGATTCCTTATTATAAAAGTTTTTTTTTATAATGGGCCCCCCAAACCCTATTCTAATTATGAATTTCCCTACATTACACCCTTGCCCACTACTGCACCCCAGCACCTGCTTTCCACCCAAACTTCTAAACTCCAGGCCCTGTACCCTAGCTGTACGCTCAAGGCCAAGAGAGGTCGGAATATTTAGCACACATGTCCAGGTTGCCCTAAAACACATGTCGTTTGGAAATTCCACAAAACGCTGTAGTCACTTAGGCTTCTATATTAGGCTGTAGGTCTAGGTCAGCAACGGAATACAGCTTTCTACCCTCGGGATGGACGGCCCTGACAATCAGTTTTCTATATTACGATCATCAAAGATCTTTACGTTTATCACCCTTTCAACTCCTCGCCAAAAGCTGCGAGGTTACAAGCACTCCGGCGGTCCACGCCAGCCCAGTAGCCCTGAGCAAAATCCCAAATTCTGAAAGACCCAAGCTCTAAACCCTAAGCCCTGCCCGACAGGTTCCCTAGTTACAATACACCTATAGACCGTTGTCCAAAATACCCTAAACCCTAAACCCTAAAACCGAACAGCCCTAACAAAAGCAATGCTGTCTTGGAGCGCCCGGCGCATCTGCCGAGTGCGGCCCGTGTGCCTCGGGCGGCGGTGCCTCTCGGCGGGTGATGGGCCACAGGCGGGCCGGTGATGCCTTGAATCTTCTTTCCATTGCTACTCTTTCAGGGTAATTTTCACCGGAAGGGTTACGTATGTATGTATATCTATATACCTTATAGTGAACACCCTATAGAATACCACCTAACCCGACAAAGTCTTGCGACAAGATGGAAGCTGGGTGTTGTTGGGCGGTGCGGCTTGCAGGCTGTAGCATACTCGGTTGCAAGGCAGACCAGGCTTTTCCTTAGGAAGCTAACCCCGCCAAATACCTTCAGCCGTAAAGCACAAACCACAAAAGTCGGAAATGCGGTTGCAAATGCAGAGCACTTGCGAATAAAGAGCATAAGGGACATCTGCAGAACGCAGTCCGCTTATTGTCTTTACCCAAAGCACGCTTACATGAACTTCAAGTAGGACACAAATTGCACAAACTGCAACATCACAAGCAAGACCACTACATGTACAGTTAGGGGCATCACTTCGTTTCTCGTTGGGTTTTATAAACAAAGCTTTGAATGTGTGAGTGTGTGTGATTCACACTAAACACACGAAACACGAGGTACGAATGCAACAACCCCCAAGCCCAATCCATCTTCACATTCTAAACCATGGTTCAGGCTTTGGAGCTCCTAAACAACGAATCGAAGCAAGCCAAAGCCCTAGCCTAGCCCAGGGCTACGGTTGCGTTCGTTGCTTCGTTTCTTTCTTGTTGTTTTTTGTTCTTCGTAGTGTTCTGAGTGTACGAAGATCTCAGAGCCCCTAAACCGAGCGACAAACTCGAAACCCCAACTCCGAACCACACCGCCAGGCGCCCACCGGCCAGCCGCACTCCTCCACCATCAAACCCGGCACACCTTACTCCAAGGAGCTGCGCCCTGGCTCCCGAAGCCCTTAGCACGCTGGTCTTTTATGGTGTCATAAGTAAAGCACCAGGCCAAGCAGAACCTAAATTCCTGGCCTCCATCCTTGGGCCTTAGGCTGCTTCAACTTTACCCTAGGGGAGACTACAAACCCTAAGCCCTAAAACCTCAGACCCTTAAACCGATATCCTAGGGAATCTCGTAGCTGCAGCACCTTGCATCTATCCCTTGCCTTCGAGGCTTAGGTTGGGGTTTTCCAGGGTCTTCGGGTCCCAAAGGATGTAATGTAGGGGCCTTGATGGTCAGAATAGGATTTTGGGGTATGTTATACTATAATCATAATCAGGAACCCCCAAAATAGTAGAGGCAACTCTTATGGTCCCTGTATGAATAGAAAACCTGATACGGTTACTTAGGGTTCCTTTTTATACGTGTATACGATAAATGATGTGTTGCAAAACCCTATTCTAGCGAGTAAGGCCCCTTGTGCTAGGTTTAGGGTTTAGTATGGCTCACCGGAGAGGTTCTAAAGACCCACAGAGTATAGGTTAAGCTCGACATTCTAGATCCTTGGCTGAACTTGGCACCTCGGGTTTCGGGTGTGGGGCCCTAAGCCCTTGCTCAAGTTGCTTTCCGTCATTTGCTCGAGTGACCGGACAGACTCCAGAGCGTCGAGGCTTCCGTCCGCCGCCTCGCATGATGCATGCGCCAGCTCTTGCAGGCCCAACGGGCGAAATCGCGACCCAAGCCGCTGGCGTCTCATGGTGCCCCAGCCCGACACGGCCTACACGTGCCAGGGTTTAGGGTTTAGGGTTTAGGGCCACCTCCAAAGGGCTACGGACCGCCGCGCCCATCCCGCGCAGCTCCTGCAGAGTCGGCAGCCCAGGGGCACAGCCCAGGTCGAGCGGCAATGCGAGGTGGCCCTGGCATCGGGCGACGAGCTCGTCAGTGTAAGTGCTTGCTGTTCTCAACGTTTCAAGGCTTAGGTTCGAGTTTTCCAGGGTCTTCGGGTCCCAAGGATGTAATCTAGGGGGCCTTGATGGTTAGAACAGGATGTTTGGGTATATTATACTATAGTCATAATGAGGAACACCAGAAATAGTATAGTTTTTTTTTTTATAAGGCCCCTGTATGAATAGAAAACCTAATACGGTTACTTAGGGTTCCTTGTTATACGTGTATACTATAAATTGTGTGTTACAAAACCCTGTTCTAGCGATTGAGGCCCCTTCTGCTAGGTTTAGGATTTAGTATGGCTCAACGGTAAGGTCCTAAAGACCCACAGAGTCTAGCTTAAGCTCGACATGTCTAGATCCTTGGCTGAACCCTAAACCTTAAACCCTAAACCCCTAAACCCCTAAGCCCCTAAACCCCTAAACCCCAAACCCTACATGCAGGGTTTGACGACCTCTGGGTTTGCAAGCGGAAGTTGGACTGTCGGGATGTAGGGCTTAGGAACGGTGGGCTCTCTTGCGGAGTATAGGGGCCAAAGTATTTAGTAACATAGGGCCATAGGGGCCTTCATAAGTAGAATAGGGTTTTGGGGCCCATTAGACTATAACTAAAAAAAGGAACCTCCAAATTAGTATAGGTACTTAACTAGGCCCCTACATTGACATCATTCCTCCGGACTCCAAGTATAACCATACTATACTATAGCCCGAATTTCTAAGCGTTAAGGCCCCTGAGGATTCCGATATGAACTCTGTTATAATGTAGCACAGAAGCTTTGTAGAAAGCATGAAACAGGCTCCTCTATTGGGGTCCAGGGGTGGGCGACGTAGGAACCATTAAGAAACCCTTGCCTTTCATTAGAGTTCTTTTTATACCTTAAACTCTAAACCCGAAACCTACACCCTAAACATTTGCCCTGCAATGCCGGCACGTCCTTGCTAAGTAGGAGACAAAAAAACCTTAATATTTTGGGGTTATCGGGCCGGGGCCATTAATCAGATCCTAACCCCTCAAACCTCTGGCCAAAGTGCTTTCGTCGTACCAATAACCTCGCCAGGCTTGTCCCAGTTTCGAGTGCTGAGACCGGGTCCTACTACCCTAAGCCCTAAACCGGCTCCTCCGGTTGATTATACAAATCCTGCATTACCCTAAACGTCCTAAACAACGGGAATTGTGGTATATTCCTTCTTGTGGGTAATGCAGGACTTATGTCATGAACCTTACTATAAACCCTACGCCCTAAACCCTAAACCCCTAAACCCCTAAACCCTAAACCCTAAACCCCTAAACCCCTAAACCCTACACCCCTAAACCCTAAACCCTAAACCCGACACCATAAACCTAAGCCCTAAACCCTAAACTACACTCTAAGCCCTAAACCCTAAACCCTAAACCCTATTATGCCTTTCGGAGAAGCGAGGCGCCTGCTGGCACATGTTTTCGACACGGCGGAAGCCGGAAACCCGGGCTCGGCGCCATGTCCTACTTGGAGGAGGGTCCAGGGTTTAGGGCTCAGGGTCGCTTAGGTTTTAGGGCCGTTTAGGGTTTAGGGTCCAGGGTTTAGGGCTCAGGGTCGTTTAAGGTTTACGGCCGTTTAGAGTTTGGGGTTTCGGGTTTGGGGTTTGGGGCTTCGGACTAAGGTTTTGGGGTGACCCTGTGGGGCGGTACGAGGTGCTACGCCTGGCTGGCTGGGTAGGAAGGTGAGTGGGTATAAGGGGGTCAAAAGTTGTCAGAAGGGGTTGACCGTTTTTTTGGCGAGTGTTTCAGGGTTCTACAAGCGTTTCAGAAGGCTTGATTCTAGAATGATTCTAGAAGGCTTCTAACCTCCCCTTTTCAGATTCTAATTTCGCTTTCTTGGGTTCTAACTTGCTTGTCTGGGCAAAAGCGAGAAATGTGGTCAAAACTTTTTCGTTTAAGGTTCTAACTTCTCGCCAGGGGTGTAGGGGATGTCTCGTTAGGGTCGAAGATTCAAGCGCTTCTAAGCAGAATTTTGTGTTGAGGGTCAAGGAGACTTGGAACTCCTTTTTGACAGCCATGATTCTGGAAAGGGCTTGATCTTGTGGGTTGTCGTAGATCCAAGACAGCCGCTAATGTAAGGGCATTACTAATTAGAATAGGGTTTTGGGGGATTTTATATTGTAATTACAAGAAGGAGCCCCCAAAATAGTATAGCTAATTATTAAGGCCCCTACATTACTACCCAACAGCAAGGAGTAGCCTTCTGTTATGGGAGGACTTGTGCACCGTTCGGTCCGGGTGCTGAATATGGTTATAGCATAACGGCCCTATTCTAAATATTAAGGCTATTCAGGCCCTATGTTAGCCAAAGGGGTGGTTTTCGTTCCGGGCTTTAGGCTGAACGCCCTCACGCTTGCTTCCATACTCGGCTTCATGGAGTGGGGCTCTGTGTAGAGTTTGAAGGCTTTGCAAGGGCTTGTATGAGGTTTGGTCCTAGCTCTGAGCCCAACGGGTTCTACACCCACCTGGATCTTGAGCTGGGATTTTTGCCGCAAGATGTTTCGGCTTTTTGCTGTAGCTGACAGAAGCCCAAACCGATCTGAACTAGTGAGAGTCCGACGGTTCGCGCAGTGAATCCTGAACATGCGCAGAGGATTCCGGAACCTACTGCTGTTTATCTCTGTGTGCTCAGGGCGCTTGGGGTTTAGCGGTCGACGTTTCGAGGGAGGAGCCTGAGATGAAGCTCATGGGTATTCATACCTAGGAGACGCTGCATCGCGGCTGCCCCGAATGATTTCGGGCGCCGTCCTAGGCCTTAAACAACATGCGACCACACACCAATAACCTCGACTGGACTGTCCGAATGTGAGCACTGAAACTCGAAACCCTAAACCCCAAACCCTGAGTCGGCTCGTCGGGAGTCGGAAGTTGTTGATCTGACGCAGTTAATCGACGGCAAAGTGGCCAACATGCCTTTCAGACTAGAACTGGTGCCCCTCTCCTAGGCTTGTACGAGCGTGAGTGCTGAAACCCCAAACCCAAACCCCAAAGCCTATCGTTCGAGTCGCGAGAGTTAGCAAAAAGCTCGACACTTAGCCGAGGTGTGCGATGCCATCGAGCGCTTCGGCGAGGACATTCTGGGCCCGGCCGGGCAGTGGCTGAAGGCTTCTTTGTCTAGGGCCTAGGGTTTTGATATAGAAACCTTAATTATTACGTAGAATAGGGTTTTGGGGCCCATTCTACTATAGTTATAATAAGGGACCCCCAAACCCTATTCTATTTATTAAGGCCACTACAGTAGAGTTCAGCGGGGTACTTGAAATCATGATCTGGATTTGGGATTCAGGGTCAGGGCTCTGGAGACATGAAAACCTGCACAGCCACCCACAACGGCCGCTGAAACTCAAGGGTATAACGGTCACATGCCCTTGTGCTCGAAAGGTGCGCTTTCTCAGACGGTCTGTGGGTGGGGAGGAGTTGCGAAGTATCGGCCATGCAGATCTTGTAGTCACATCGAATAGCTTGCTAATGCAAAGTAGGCGAGCTTATGATCGAACAAAGATCGCATCCCTGAGCACTTGCGCGAGTTTCTGCCACGGTCCAAGAGACCCCGGACAACTGTGATTTCGTGACTTTTTCATTTTCCACTGGAATCGTTCAGGTGGGCAGCGTTCAGCTCGAGCAGCTTGCAGAATAAGATCTCATAGTCGGCCCGGGTCTAGAGAGGCCCGAAGCCTTGCACCTTGAACTCGACAGATCTTCAGACAGTGTCGCTTGTCGAGACGCCGAAAACCGTACGTAGCCACAACCGAACACTGCAGCAGCAGCAGCAGCAGCAGCAGCAGCAGCAGCAGCAGCAGCAGCAGCAGCAGCAGCAGCAGCAGCAGCCGCGGTGACGGTGGTGGCGGTTGTGTTCGGCAGACTTGCAGTATCGGCAGATTTGCAGTGTTTCAATACCAGCATCAGCATTTTTCACACACCCAAGATTGCTAAGTACCTTGGTTATCGCTCCAAGCCTTAAACCCCAAACCCTAAATAAACTCCAAAGCCTGAATAGGCCCTCAACCCGAAACCCTAAAGCCCTAAACTCTCAACAGGTCGCCGGGCGGCAAAAGACCACGGTGCTTAGCAAGGCAATGAAGGCTTGCCCCACAGGACCGGCTTGGGGCTTGGGGTTTAGAGCATTTCGGTTTAGGGTTTAGGGTTTAGGGTTTAGGGCATTTAGGGTGAGGGTTGCATGGGCGCTGGCCGGCACCTCAGTCCGTGCTGAAAAAGGGCATTTAGGGTACGGGTAATTGAGGCATTTGAGGTATTTAGGATCCTTGGGACATGAAGGCCGTTTAGGATTGCGGTTTAGGGGGGTTAAGGGTACTTTGGGTTTACAAGAGCTTTAGTCGAGAGTTTATGATTGGTGCTCCAAGCTTTTCTAGTGGAAGTCACGGCGTAGACGGGCTTCTTCAGTCTTATCCTCAACCTTACTGTAAACCCTAAACCCTAAACCCTAAACCCTAAACCATCAGGAGGCAGCATCCTGGAGATTGGCACTTACTGCGGCTACTCGGCGCTGCGCATGGCCATGATTCTGCCTGGTGCTCGAGTGGCACAGCTTGAAATGCTTGGAACCCTGAAGCCCAGAAACCTGAAGCCCTGAAATCCTGAAACCTGCAGGGTTGCCTTGCAATCCTGAATTCAAGCAACTTCCAAGCCGCTAAGCCCTGGAAGGCATCTAAACACTACTGTCTGGCACAGGCCGCCCCCTGAAGCACGCAATCTTGATCGCCTTGAGACCCCTCATGAGCCAAGCGCGAAGCCTCACCGATAATTCTGCAATTGGTGCCGTCATCGTCGTCGTGGTGGTCGTCTTCGTCGTCATCGTCACCACCACCACCACCACCGCCACCATCATCACCTGTCCCTGATCGTGCCGCACCCCGGCAGCCACAATGATAAAATCTCCGAAGTTGGAAGAGCGATCTCTTGGCTCACTGTAGGTCTTGGGCCTTTTGGGCCGGGCCAACCCTCCCGTGCACCAAGGTCGTGTCTCTGGAGGTGGACCCCGCGCACATGGTCATAGCCCGCAACATGGTGGCCTACGCGGGTCTGGCGCACATGATCGACGCCTGCCGTGTGAGGAGAAGATACTTCTGCACCATAGGCACGACCATGGTCGTGAGGAGGATTTCTGGTTTTTCTAATCAATTTCCCGTCTTGCACCCGTACTTCAGAGCTGAGAGATGCTGTGTGGGAAAGACCCTAAACCCTAAACCCTAAACCATGTAGGGTTTAGGTTTTAGGGTACGACTGCAGGTCCAGGCTCGGGAGCTGGAGTTTCGGGTCTCGGGTTTAGGGTAGCTCGAAGGTTACAAGGAGCAAGACGTCCTCCACAGATTGCAAGCGCTATATACCGCGGCTTTTGCAAATCCTGCAGGTGAAAACCCGCAATTCTACGAACAGAAGGGACAAGATGATGCTACTGAGCGATCAGGTTCTCCCAAACCCCGAAACCCCGAAGCCCCTAAACCCTAAACCCTTGGGTTGAGGGCACTCTGCTGCAGCAGCAGCGGGAACGAAGCCCAGCTTCCGGGACCTTCAAGCCGGACCACTTTCGGTTCAAGGGCTTAGCGGTTTAGGGTTTAGGGTTTAGGGGTTTAGGGGTTTAGGGGTTTAGGGTTTAGGGTTTAGGGTTTAGGGGTTTAGGGGTTTAGAGTTTAGGGTTAGGGTTAAGGGGTTAAGGGTTAAAGGGCTTAGGGTGTAGCGTGCGCAGTTGGAGTGTACCAGCACGCCACGTGCTCTTGCCGAGGACATCTGGACTGGGCACAGTAAGGATGTGTTGCCGCGGCTGCCGAGGACGGGTGTGGGGTTCTAGGGCTTAGGGTTTAGGGGTTTAGGGTTTAGGGCTTAGGGTTTAGGGTTTAGGATTTAGGGTTTAGGGTGTAGGGTTTAGGGTTTAGGTCCACAGCTTTTCCTGTGCACTCTTGCCTTAAGACGTGGTGAGGGTTGCATAGGCGCTGGCCGGCACCTCAGTCCGTGCTGAAAAAGCGTTTAAGCAAAAGGAGTGTTTTTAGGCTAATGCGTGAGGGGTTCGGGTTTCATTCATGGGTGGGTTTGTTGGACCATGCTCTTTGCCCTGTCATTTTTTTCGCGCTTCGGGGTCGTTATGCAGCCCCTGTTTCTTCAGAGCGATCCCAGCACAACCGAAGCACCGAACTCCGAACCGGCAGTGATGTCAGACCCGAACATGGGAGTTTCCAAAAATAAGGGTACCTTATATTGGGGTCCTGAAAGGATCCTATTATTTAGGGTACTCTCTTAGGGTCCCCTATTTTCGGAAACCCCCACATTGCACGGGCAAGCAGAAAAGGGGCGATACAGCCTCTTGGATAACTTCTGCTCCCACCCGCTCCTGCCATGTCGCGCATTTGGAGTGTGTCTGGAGACGAGCTGGCATCTGTCTCCGAGGAGGAACGCATGCTTGTGTCCGACGTGAAGGACTATTTGCGCAGACTGCATGGCTTCCCACTTTGCCTGCAAAAGCTCGTTTGTGATGGCAAAAGCTTGGAGGATGATGAGGAGGCACCTGCTGACTTGCAGTTGGTACGGCTTACAGAAATCCGTGAAGATCAGGAAGAAATTGCCGGAGAGGAGCTTGTGAAGGCTTCCCGAGATGGCAACCTGGAAACGGTGCGCTTGCTTCTGGAAGCTGGCATGGACATCGACTGGATCGACAGGAGAGGTGTTTCAGCTCTGCACCACGCAGCCAAAGAGGACGTTAAGATTGTGCGCTTGCTCCTGGATGCTCGCGCTGACAAGGACCAGCAGCATTTCTTTGACAGCGAAACAGCGCTGATGATTGCAGCCAGCGCGGGAAAAATTGAGATTGTCCGTTTACTTCTGAATTGTGGTGCTGACAAGACCCTGAAGAGTCTTGATGGCGAAACGGCTCTCATGATGGCAGAACGAATGGGCCAGGCTGAGATCGCACACTTGCTTGCAGACGCTGGCGCGGATTGAACTCTTGCTGCACGCAGGGCAGGTCTTCCACAAGCACGCCCTAAACCTAAACCCGAAACTCTCAACCCATACAGTGGACATCGCAGCACGGCTTTCAGCGAATGTCATGTCCGGCCGCCATGGAAAATACTCACGATCTCGGCCGCCCAAGCCTGAACCCCCCTCAACCTTGCAAATCATCGCAATAAAGGCCTCAATTGCTGCTTTGTAGAGAAATAGATGCGAGCTTGTGTTCCGATAGAACCTCGCAGTTCACGGCATCTCAGTGTGTTGAAGGTGTATACTTGTATACTTGTATACCTGCAGATTCGTGCAGTGCCCACCCTATGCCACGAGCCTTTCTTGGAAGCCGTGTGTATTCAGAGTCGGAATCCCATGCCAGCTGTCTGAAAGCCGACCTTTAACATTATATCCCCTCGTAGAAGCCTTGATGCCAAAGACCTTCAAGCTTAAATCCTAAGCCCAACAAACAGCCGCCATTGTCCTTATGTGATTTCTGTTACACTACACTCACTACACCCCAAGACACTGCTAAACATTGCTAAATTATCAAGGCCCCCCTTGCTAGGATCGACCCTGAGCCCTAAAGCCAACAACCCACCTGTCATGAACGAGTTTAATGGAGATGTTGAAGAACCCACATTCTGGGCTGAAGAGGAGGGCATGTGCAGTGCTAGGTTTGGCGATTTCAGCATTTGGGGTTTGAGGTTTAGGCCCTAAGTTTAGGCACCGGATCTACGTCTGGAATGCCAGGAAGAGGGAGAGACAGAGAGAGAGTGGCACCGGATCTCGGGTTTAGGTCTCAGGGATTCGTGCTCCACAAAAAGGTCTCAGGCTGAGAGGTTCAGGGTTGAAGGTTTCGCGTTTGCGGAAGACAAGCCCCGCGCACAAGTGGGGTAGCAGGAGCGACGAGGGCATGACACCAGTTTAGCTGCAACTCGAAGGTAAGACAGAGCGCACTACAAATATATGTATGCATGCACCTGTACACATGTACATAAAAAGTAGACATGTCCGTATACATGTGTACAGACACATGCTGTTGTATATGTACCCACGCACGTACCCACGCATACGCACCGACATGCGTAACGCTGTATGCCTGTGTATGAGTACTGCATGTATGCATATATATATATATATATATATATATATATGTATACGTAAAAATGCTTGAGTTGAAGTTGCGCCTGGACGCAGGAAGTACGGCGGCCGGCAGAACTTCAAGCTCTGTGGCGTCTTCATGGAGCCCTGGCCCTAAACCCTACACCCTAAACCCGAAGCCGGAATCTTCTCCTTAGACCTCGTGGTTCTAGACCCCTCCAAATTTCCTCAAAATAACACCCCGGCCCCTCAACCCTGAACCCTAAACCCTAATCCCAAAGCCTAAACCTGCATCCCTGGCAGGCATGATAAGAAGCCATCTTCTCAATTTCGTGTTCAAAGCCACGTATATTGGGCCATTAAGCCTTTGAAGCTTGAACCCTGCAGCTCTACACTGCAGCAGCTGAGCTGCTATGCATGCTCAGGATCAGAAAGGCTCGCGCTACCACGAAGACTTGTCCGTCATCGAACAGATGGGCTTGCTCTTGCCTGGGGCCGTAGCTCGGACGACAGTTTGTGTGTTCTGTAGCGGTCCCAGAGAGCCTACTGACTGCCCCCTAGTTAAGGAGTATAGCTTCAGTCACACTTGCACATGCGATGTTACATCTACGCCCTATATTCTCAGCATTGAGTAAGGCCCATAATGTATATCGACAATTCTGCAAATCTGTAGCTGAAGCCCAAATAGATACACAGAGGAACGAATACAGAAACAAGAAAAACACACAAAAACAGGAACTAGAATGGAGATTCTGGGTAAACCCTAAACCCTAAACCCTCAGCCCTAAACCCAAAACCCAAAACCTCTGAACCCTAAACCCTAAACCCCTAAACCCTAAATCCTGAGCCCGAAGCCCTAAGCCCTAAACCCAAACCCTGAGCCGGCTAGCAGCTGCTAGCATCGACTGCAGGTGGTCGTGGCGGATAACGTCCTCAAGCCCGGGTCTCCTCTTTTCCTTTGGCGGCTCTGCAAAGGACACCACCGGGGCTAAAGGCTTCGGGGTTTCGGGCTCTATGGTGTGCATCGGGTTTTAGGGTTCAGAGTTCGGGGTTTAGGGTTTAGGGTTTCAGAGTTGGGGCTCTAAGGGTTTAGATTTTACGGTTTAGGGTTCTCTGTAAGGGCAGCTGAGTCCCTTGTGAAAAAGGTTTAGTTAAGGGTTCAGCGTTTAGCCTGGGCATGGAGGGTTCGGGGCTGTCCGGTTCAGCTTCGTCTGGAGCCTCCGGGACTTGGGTCAAGCGCGTAAGCTCGAATTAACGGCTGGGTGCGGTTCGGTTTCTAAGATTCGGAGAGCAGGAGAATCCTACGACAACCACGTGGTGCGCGTGAGGGAGTTTGCGATGCCGTCAGACGACTGGATGTCCGACCCTCGCCCGAAGTCGGCGCTGCAAGCGTTGGCCACAGACCCCGAAGCCCGAAGAGGTAAGTTTGGCGTAGTTTAGCTCTGCGCAACGCAACTCTGGTTCCCAAGACCCCAGTTCGTGTGCATCACAACCCAAGCCCGATAATATGGAGGCCTGAATAACTGCCTGTACTATTTTGGGGGTTCCTTATTATGAATATCGTAGAATGGGCCCCGAAACCTGGTCAAATTATTAAGGCCCCAACAGTATGCTCGATTGTCAACCCCATGAGCCCCATGAGAGTTTTGAGCCCTAAATCCTTTAAATCCCGAATTCAGCCCCAAACCCTAAATCTCTAAGCCCTAAACCCCAAATCCCTAAACCCTAAACCCCTAAGCCCTAAACAAATCCCTAAGCCCGAAAGCCCTAAGCCCTAAAACCCCCTAAATCCCCAAGCCGGCCTAGACCCCGAGGTCAGTGTCCTCAGACAAGAGGCCGCCGAGGAATTTGCCGAGTCCTCCGTGGATGTGCCAGTGGTGGTATCTCGACTCGTCTGGGTTTAGGGTTTAGGGTTTAGGGCCGTTTAGGGTTTAGTAGTTCTCCAAATTAGGGTCGCTTTTGGGTCCTTTTTTGTGAGGGTGCCGTCCTATTTCTGGAACCTAAAAAGGCACCCTAAGCTAGAGAATGGAGTCTGACTGGGCCTTTCTGTGATTGGGGCTAGGTGTCGCTTGTTTTGAGGGTTGCTATACCCAGGCTCTTCTGGGTTTCTATACCCAGACTCTTCTGGGTTTCTACATCCAGAATCTTCTGAGTTGTTATATCCAGAACCTTCTGCGTTATTTTATCCAGAATCATGTGTTTAGTGGTTCATACCGATTTTTACAAGGGTCCCCTCATGTTCCGAAACTCCCTCAATGCGAGATGAGTCAGGATTTACGATTCAACGTCGAGGCCTTTATCTTCATGGAAACCTCATAGTGACCCCCACAGGAATCCTCAATGGAACCCTTGTAGTAACTGTATATAACAATTCCTAAAAGGAACTAAACCCTAAACCCTAGTAACTGTATATAACAGTTCCTTAAAGGAACTAAAACCTAAACTCTAAGCCCCTTCTGGTAACTCGTGAAACAATTCTTCTGCGACCCCCCGGAAAGGAACCGTTCTTGCAGCGCCTTCCCGTAAGCCTGTAAGTGACCCCTTAAAAGGGATTCCTTAAAGGAATCCTCGGGGGATCCCCATAGAGGAGACCTGAACCCTAAACCCTAAAC